CCTGCACAGCTCAGGGGGGCTCCAGCCACACCTGCACAGCTCAGGGGGGCTCCAGCCACACCTGCACAGCTCAGGGGGGCTCCAGCCACACCTGCACAGCTCAGGGGGGCTCCAGCCACACCTGCCCTGTCTCATCCTCGGTGCTGGTCCCTCCCGGAGGATTCAGGGGATGTTTCAGCATCTCTGGACTGTGAGCAGCTGATGGCAGCGGGGGGGATGGAGGAGCTCCAGGCTGGGGGGGCAGCTGCTGTCGGGTCCCGGGGGATGCTCAGGTCCCTGCGGGGTTCCCGTGGCTGCCCTGGCAGTCCAGGGGGGCTCAGCAGCCTGTGCTGGGGTGAGGGGGGGTCTGGAGCTGCCGTAACCCCGGGCTCTCTGTGCCCTGCAGGCGAGCCCTCCCGCTGGTCCTCGTCCCACTGCGACTGCTGCTGCAAGAACGGCAAGGGCGACAAGGAGGGCGAGAGCGGCACGTCCTGCAACGAGCTGTCCACGTCGAGCTGTGACAGCCAGTCCGAGGCCAGCTCCCCGCAGGAGACCGTCATCTGCGGGCCTGTCAGCCGCCAGCCCAACACCCAGACCCTGGAGCGGCCGGCCAAGAAGGGCCCACTGCACCTGCTGCCGCAGGCCGAGATGCGCAGGAAGAGCGACCTGCTCCGGACTCTCACCTCCGGCTCCCGCGACTCCAGCTCCGGCAAGAAAAAAGCGCTGAAGGAGAAGCTCTCCATCGAGGAAGAGCTGGAAAAATGTATCCAGGATTTCCTCAAAATCAAAATCCCAGACAGGTTTCCCGAGAGGAAGCACCCCTGGCAATCCGAACTGCTGAGGAAGTACCACCTCTAGGCTGCGGGTGGGGAGAGCCAGCTCCTGAGTGACACAAAAGTCATTCCCAGTAATAACTATTTCTTAGGTCACCAAAACCAAAATCCATCTCTAGTACTGCCTAATTTGCCTATTTCACCTTAACATTTCCGGTCGTAGGGGAACGATATTTTTGCAGTCCTGGAAGCACAATGACAAACGCTTTTGTTTGTAAACCCGGAGTCTTACACAAGCTGAAAACCTTAAGGGCACGAGCAGGCCCACCCCAAGGGATGCTGGCGTGGCCCCAGAGCAGGCAGGGCAGGGTGCTGAGGGCTCCTGGATCCTGCTCGGAGCACACGAGCTGCAGGGAGGAGCACAGCACAAAGCCCCAGCTCTGCCCCGGCAGTTTAAGCATGTGTATTTATATATGTGCATATATATATGTGTGTATATATATCTCTGTGTATATATATATATGTATATATATATCAATATATACTGCTTAAAGATTTTCTGGCTCGCTCCTTATAACTGCACTTTCTCAGAAAAGAGCATTTTTATAGTCTGTGGATGTCCCGTTCCTTCTCCAGGCCTTTGAGGGCTGAACAGTAGAAATCCATCTCCCTGTCTCTCTCCTGCTCCCCCTGCCAGGCCTCCCCCGTCCCTGGGGCACTGTGAATGTGTCCCAGGGGAGACCAGGGCGCAGTCTGTGGCTTTGTGTTGCCATCAGCAAAATATTCCGTTTGTTTGGGATGCTCCTGGCCCTCGTGTGCTGCCCACGCCTCTCGTGTCTCCCAAGGCTCTCGGTGGTCAGCGGTGCTCTGTCCCCGCTGGAAAGCCCCGGGGATGGCTGTGGGCTGTGCAGGGATGCTGGGGAGGATGTTCCCTCCTGCAGGTGCCAGGTGTGTGTCCAGGAGCAGCTGTCCCAGCTGGCAGGGACAGCGGGCACCGCTCCCCAGCCCGCCCGGGGGCTCTGCCCTGGGGAGCTGCAGGGGCTGTGCCAGGAGCAGCCCCAGAGGAGCCCCCTGTGTCCCCTCCCGCAGGTGCCAGCCGTGCCTGTGTCCCCTGTGTGTCCCCAGAGCCCAGGGACAGGCAGGGCTGGGCTGGCCCGGCATTGCCCAGCCCGGGAAGGGCAGAGGGGTCGGGCTGGGGAGGGGGCACGGGCTGGCCAGAGCTGGGGCAGGGCAGCAGTGGAGAGGATGGAACAGTGCTCCAGCTGTGGAGGCCACAGCTGGGGACAAACCAGCTAGAGGAGCTGGGAGCAATCATTTGTTTCTAAAGCACAGGAAGAAGATTTATATATATATATATATATATATGAATATAAAACTGTGGTCAGTGATGGCGCTGGTAACACAGAACACTCGGATTCTGACTCAGTAAGTGTCCTGCAGGTTCCAGGGCTTCCCCCTCCTGAATTCCAGCAGCTGCTGTGGGAGATGCTGTCCTGCCTGCTCAGGTTCTCCCTGCCATCCTGCTGCAGCTCCAGCCAGGAGGAAGCCTGGTGCCATCATGCTGGGCTGGGCCGGGGAGGACGGGGACCCCTGAGGTCTCCATGAGCCCACGGTGGTGTTTGGGGTCGGGGGCACCTTTTACCAGCCACAAGAGGAAGCAATACTTGTCCAGAGGGATCGATAAGCAGGAGCTGGCTGCAGGGAGCAGGGCTGGGATGTGCAGCTGGGGTCAGCTCCGGGACCTTGTGGGGGCAGGAGAGGCTCTGCCTGGGAAATAATCAGTGAAGAGACTCAGCACTTCCCAGGATTGTGCTTTAGAGCTGGTTCAGGGTTCAGGACATTCCCTCCCACTGGAATTCAGGCTCGCCTCTTGTGCCACCCTCTACTCACAGGCTCTAAAGGCACATCTTCCCACGGAAATCAATGTTTTATACAAGCTCCACAGATTCGGCCCTGCTTAGTTATTTCATGGTTAGTTTACAGCATTTTTCTCTCCCTGCTCAACATTTCCTGCATCTTGTCCCCCTGGGACCCCTGCCCCTTGCTCTGAAGCAAGAACTGAGGAACAGACAGGGCTCTCCTCTGGGTTTCCAGCAGGGCTTTAGGACAGGTCACCTTTGTTCCTTGGCAGGAGACTGCAGCTAAAACCTCGTGCTTTCACTCCAGATCTTTCCCTGTCTCCTGAACACGGCAGCAGCTTGTGCTGTGAGCTGGGTGCAGGAGCAGGCGTTGGGTGTGGGTGTTCCAGGGACACGGGATTGCTCCGTGATTAATAACGGGGGGGAAATTAGACCAAATGAAATGCGCCCAAGTGGGCTTGATTTATGTGGCCTTCATGTCTCCAGTTTGAGATGAAATGGTTATTGCTACAGAAATAAAGGTCTTAAACTTCAGTAGGAACAGGCAGGCCCAACCTGCTGGGAAACCCAGCCTGGGCTGGGGCTGGGGCAGGGCAGTGCCAGCTGTTGGGTTCATGCCCGTGTGTGTTTGTGTGTGTCCTGCTGCATCTCTGAGGGACCTGCTGCTGCTCTGACCCCATGGACAGCTGTTTTGTGAGCGGTTTGTGCAGAGCTGGGGCTGTGCTGGCAGTTTCTGTGCTGCTCAGAGGCACTGAGGGGCTGTAGGTGGAACACAGGGGCCCCGGGCGGTGCTGGGGGCTCTCACACCCCTGGAGGGGTCAGCAGCTCTGCCCAGTGCTGCCCAGAGCTCCCTTCCTTCCCTCCTCTGCACCACCAGTGCCCCACAGCACCCCCAGCACCTCTGGGGCACCTCCCTGTGCCCCCCTGGGACAGGGCTGGGGACACCTGGCAGGGCTGCAGAGCAGCCCCGGGAGAGCAGGGGAGCTGGGAATGCTGCTCCACCATGGCCCCCTAGTCCAGGTGGGTCAGGAGGGAGCAACCAAACCTTCTGCAGGCAGCAGGATGGTGGCAGGAGGGTGACCTCCCACATGGGCCCTGGAGATGCCAGCGTTAGTGCCATGCACACAGGGATGCACAGCTGCACAGGCACCCCTGTCCTGGGTGGGGACAGAGCCACCCCAGGTGGGGACAGAGCCACCCCCAGGTGGGGACAGAGCCACCCCAGGTGGGGACAGAGCCACCCCAGGTGGGGACAGAGCCACCCCAGGTGGGGATAGAGCCACCCCAGGTGTCAGGCAGGGGCTGGTGCCTCTCTGCTGAGGCTGCCCTGGCCGTGTGGGACGTGGCAGCCGTGGCTGTGCCCAGGGCAGGACACCCTGCAGCGGCTGGGGGCTGCAGTGGCACCTCAGAGCCAGGGCACTGCAGGGGAACGTGGCCAGTGCTCAGCACACCCGGCCCCTCGCTCGCTGCTGGGAAGGGAGGCAGATGAAGCACAGGGCAGGAAGGAAACTGAGATTGCCTGAGAGAGACCTTTGGGCTATAAAGGATGTTCTACTCCAATTGGACTTGGTTTCCATGAGAGAACCCATGTGGCTCCCTAGGACAGGCTTTGTAGCAAGCCAAAATTAACTCTGCTCGTGGAGTACTTTATTCTTTCTAAAATAGCTGGGAAGAAAACTGGACTTTGAGCTACTTTCAACCAGTAACAAAGACCAAGTTCTGTTGCAACTAATTGGAAAACTTCCCTTGACTGCAGTGGGACTGAGACTCAGCTCCCAGCAGCAGAATTCCCAGTTTCCAGGGGCTTTGCCACCCCAACCCCCTGAGACACCTGAGCAGGACTCAGCACTGGGGGGACACAGAGAATGTGTCATTTCCACAGACCCCTGGGGAACAGATGGTTTTGTTCTCTCCCTAAACCGTCTGCACACACAGCACAGGGGCTGCACAGCCTGGAGAGCGGGTTGGGTTTAAATTGGGTGAGTCCATTTATTAATTTCATTTGCAGCTGTGGGCTGAAGGAGAGGCAAGGTTGGGTTTTATTGGCAATGACCATCACGAGTCCTTCAGCCGTGTCCCACCCGCTGTCCCAGCCCTGGTGGGGCTGGAGGGACCCCAGCCCCCTCCCCAAGCCCCCCAGCACTGCGAGTACGGACTTGACTTTCAGAGTACTTTATGCATAAGGCCCCATGTGTATCATGGTAGAAAATAATTGTCCAGTCTTATGGATAGTTTATGCCCCAACGGGGTTTTGTAGATTAATAGTAAAAGAACAAAAAAAAAAAAAAAAACAAAAACAAAAAAAAAAAAACCCAAGAAAAAGCACTTTTAAATTATTTATATTATAAAAAGACATTCTTTATTTTTCTTGGCATTGATGTCACTTAGCTAAAAAATCCGTTTATAAATAGGATATTGCAGATTTTAAACTATAGCAATGCTGAAGCAAACACGAATTCAGAGTTCCACAGAGAAAATGAGCGAGGTGAAGCAGGAGGGTGGCAGGGCCCAGCTGGCTCCGTGGCTGCTGTTGGAGCAGAGGGAGGTGATGTCCCCCTGGTCCCCTCTGGCCGTCCCCAGGGGATGGCAGGGCTGGGCCCCAGGCCTTGGGGCTGCACTGGGGTGCTGCCAGTGCAATATTTCCCAGCCCTTGGGATGCAGAGGGGCTCTGGTGCCGCTGGGATCTCTCGGGGCCTTGCTTACGTTACATTTTCGGACCTCATTCAGCACTAAATGACTTCGCCGAGGCTGAGTCAGTCTGTTGCACATTGATTTAGATTAAGTGGCACCCACTGAATTACCTCTCGACTTTCCAACGTGGTTCACTTGTACATAAGTGTAATGTCAAACTGTTTACAGGTTCTTTTGTGCGTAATTGTGGAAAAAAAAAAAAAAAAGTTTTAACTACAAATTTAAAGGAATCGATTTTGCTGGAAGGTGTTTAAAAAAATGAATGTGCTTAATACAGTATAGACATCCTTGCTAATGGTCTCACCTGAATGCATGTATCCGTGTTGTCAGTCCCACCAGTGAGGTTATTGGCAATATTCTGCAGTCTGTGAATAGCAAATATGCATAAACTACTGTGACTCTGACAAATATAACTCGGTTACTGTTTCTACTGTGGTATGTGAAAAAATCCTGTAGCTTTTAGCCTGCTGTATTTCCCTGGTGCAGAGAGCACCAGGAAAGAGAGAGGAAGTCCCATGGGAAGAATGAAGTCCCAGCTGTGCCCTGAGCAGGGTGGTCCATGGGGCAGCCCCCAGTGGGTGGCTGTGCTACAAGAGCTAAAAATGCCATTTTCAGAGCCTGCCAGGTGGGAAGGGAGGCTGCTGCTGCTGCCCCTGCTCTGGCATCGCTGCTGGGACAGAGCTGGCCCTGGGCAGGGACAGAGCTGGCCCTGGGCAGGGACAGAGCTGGCCCTGGGCTGGGACAGAGCTGGCCCTGGGTTGGGGTGCTGGGGGCTCACAGCTGTAGCCGGTTTGTGTTTGCCATCCCAGCGCTCTGGCACAGACTGGGAGACAGGAGCTGGTATCCTTCAGCTGTCACACACAGAAATGTGGATCCTGGATCCATGGATGCATCCAGGCGTGCTTGCTCACAGGGGTTTAGCACGGGCTCATGTAACCACTTCCCTCCCTGCTGGCTGGGAGTTGTCCTCCCTTGAAAGCAGGGGGGTTTTCCCAGTTTGTTTCTGGGTTTGTTATCATTATTTTGAATCTGCAGTACTTGGCTGTGGCTGGGAGGAAGCCCTTTCCAGCGGTCCCTTCCTGGGAGAAGGTGAGAGGTCCATTTGGGCGGCGTTTTCCCCAGGTGGTGCCTCCCCACAGCAGGATTTGGGTGCTGCTGCACTCGAGGGAGGCCGAGGTTTGGAGCTGTGTCCCCCGGTGCCGAGGGGACGCTCACTGAGCTCCCTGTGCCACCAGCCTGGCACTGGCAGTGCCACCAGCTGGGTGATGCCAGGGTTGTGTCCTGGCCCAGCCCCTGCAGGAGCCTCCTGCCCTGTGTCCCTGAAGTGCCCTCCCAGCTCTGGGATGAGCTTCTCCCCACGGATCACCCCTGTCTGGAGCCCAGGGGCTGGGGGACAGCGCAGGGGAGCCGAGGGGACCCTTCTGCTGCTGTTTCTGGGCAGAGCCGGGGCTCACTGCCCTGTTCCCTCTGGCTGGGCTGGGTCTCAGGCTCCATCTCTCACCCAGCCAGGTCCCAGGGGAGGAGGACACGGGGGCTGCTGTGGCCCCTGGCTGGTGACAGCTCTTCTCCTGGCCCAGACACCCCCCTGGCCCGAGCAGGGCTCACCTCCATGGCTGCTCGCTCGCATTCCGGAGCAGGAAGCTGAATTTGGTTATTCTGAGCACTTGTGAGCACTGTCTTGTCTGCTTTTCGTGTCAGGGCAGATGTGAAAGAGCAGTGGGTTTTGGGGTAGAACACCTGCACAATAATTACTGCGGATGTAATTACCTCCCCCACGCAGCACTGGTGATGTGCATGGGAAGGAGGAGATTCCCTTTGATACCAGGTGATATCAGAACATTATTTTAATCTGCCTTACAACTATATAATTAAGAGAGCTTATATATAGAAATATCTATCTATCTATCTCCCCACGTGTGTATTTCTGGCTGGGAGCAGGGTGGGCAGCCCTGGGCTGGGCTGGCCTCGCTCTCTGCCCGCTGCTGCCACAAGGGCGAGCGCCTGGGAAGAAGAGACAAACTCAAAGCTTGCCCAAAGCCTTTCCAGAGGAGAGGGCCCCCCCTCCCAGGGACAACTGCAGCCCCCAAAATGCTGAGCTGTCCCAGCACCTGGCACCTGGGACCAGTCCCTGTCACCCCTTCTGCTCCCTGGGCAGGCAGGGAGGGGTGACCCTGCAGGTCATGGTGGGCTTGCCAGGATGGGACTGAACTCTCGCCGTGCCCCAGAGCCGAGCACAGGAGGAGCTCAGCCTCTCCCTCCAGGGTGCCCAGGGCAGGCTGGGCTGAGGAGCCCGGCATCCTCTGGGCTGGCCTGAGGCAGGGCAAGGAGCAAACCTGCTGCAGGAGTGGGCTCAGGGCTGGGCTTGGGGCTGGGCTCAGGGCTGGGCTCAGGGCTGGGCTGGGGGCTCAGGGCTGGGCTGGGGGCTCAGGGCTGGGCTGGGGGCTCAG